CAGCGGGAAGCCGTCTCGGAGCCCACCGGGGGCCGCCAGGGAACGGATCGGGACGAAGCGTGCGTCCCGGAAAATACGATAACAACAACGAAGCAACAGGAAAGATGTCGAGCGCCGTGTCATGATTCGGACAAGCCTCGTGGAATGCATTCCTGGAGGCGCAATAGTTTATAGAGGGGTCGGCGGATGTGGCGTAAGCCAGTAATATGATCGTGAAAAACCCAAACGAGTCTTGAGGAATCCAAGCAGGTCCTGTGGAATCCTGAATAAACCCATTGACGCAATCCTACGAGATCTCTCAAACCCTCTGGAAAATACCAATATCAACTATTCTGCTCTATACGCTCTAATCTTATGTCGTCTCTTTCTCTCTCTCTCTCGCTATGTATATTTCTCATTTTACCTGCTCTAGTATCTGTCTGTCTATATGTCGCTCTCCACTCTCCCTGCTACACATGCTATCCCTCCTTCCCTGTCTCTCTCACTTCCTTATCTTTCCATCGCTCCCTTTACTCTCTTTACGTTCTCTCGCCACTATTCTCGCTCTGGTCTTTATCCTCTGCTCGCTCTACTCTATATGCTCGTTCTACGCTTCTCCTCTTTGGCATCAACAATCTGACGTATTCTCACTCTTCTGCCCGTGCTTGCAAGGACCCGGGCACAGAGCCGCAACCAAGAGCGCGTTTACTCGTAAACACGGAAGCAGCAAGAAATCGGAAACCTGGCCGCCCACCATGCCGCCGACTCTGTCGGCGTGTGTGAGGCTCGTTTTTCCGTTTGAGTCGTCGTCGTCGTCGCCGTCGTCGTCGCCGCTACTAGAGGCCTCCTAGATGGGGTGGGAGTAGATGGGGTCGGAAGATCGCGCCGCATCACCGATACATCGGCGATGCACCGGCGATGTATCGGTGACGTTAACGTGAAGCAAATCGCGCCCCACATCGCGCCGCATCGGCGATGCAACGGCGATCCGGCGCGACCCTCCGACCCCATGTATTTCGACCGCATCTGTCGGAGGCCTCGAGCTACCCCCCTTTCCCTGGGCCCTCCCTCCTCAAGTGATCCAGCCAAGCGGAACTCAAACCTCGTTGCAATGGCTTCGAACGCATTCGAGGGGAAGAGCTCCCTTCCCTCTGATCCCTTCCGTGTGGGGGGCAGCGAGGGGGGCCCCGGGGGCCGTGGCCTCGCCTCCGGGCGCTCCTCCACGGACAAAGGGGGCTGGCCCCCTCGTGGACGGGGGGGGGGGGCTCGGGACACCTCCTCCCGCTTCCCCCCCGTGGGCAAGGGGGGCCACCGCCAACCCCTTCCCAACTCTCAGGCCCCCCCCCCACGGAGGCACCCTTCTTGCTCTTATCTGCTGTTCTCGGGGTGCTCGCATTTCCCCCCCCAACACGTGGTTATCACACGCTGGGGAATCGTGATGGATTTTGCCAGCCTGCTCGTGAGAAGGTGGGCGGATCCTCGTCTTGCGCCTCCACCGCCTCTACTTTGGCTGGCTTGGAGGTGGCCTTCGGCTTGTCCTTGCCGTCCTTGTACCCTAAGTAGGTCTTGTAGAACAAGGCACCTGTTTAAGGGGGGTGGGGGTATGAGGAACATGGAAGACGACTAGGTATTCATCCCTATGTCTGGCCCTCTCAACCCCATCCGAACGACAGATCTTTCCTCCTGGCTTGTTTTTTGATGGCCCCTGGGTCCACCAAACGCCCCCGATGGGCCGAACTCATGAAACAACAGGCCGTCTAGTTTGCAGGTCTGTGGAGAGGATGAGAAGGAAACGTGAGGGGGGGACCAGCTCAGGAAGGGGGAAACATCAAGCTGGAATCGGCGATACATCGCTGGCCGCTACCCCTATCGGCGATTTGTGTGCGATTGGGGTCGATGCATCCCCCGCGAGCCTATCTCCCACTAACCGTGCCCCTCAGAAGAGGGGAGGAGGTCGACTAGGGAGGTAGGGGGAGGGGGAAGGCTTCTTAGAAGGAGGCTGCTTCTTAGAAGGCGCGGGCCTTTCATTTACAGACAAAGGCCGCGCCTTCTAAGGTGCAACTAAGAAATCTTCCCCCCTTCCCCTGCACCCCTCTGCGATCGGGCATCCACTGACCCGGGTCAATCCAGGCCCGTCTCAGTCGGGCTTTGAAGAATCGTCATGCAATATCCTCCAAGATCCTGCGCCCTAGCCCGGGTCAGTGCACCCCTGGCTCTGCAGGATCCTGCAAGATCGGGCGCCCTGGCTGACCCCCATCTGCATTGACCCCCTCCTCTTGAGCCCCGATTTGGAGTCCCGAAACGGTGCGGTGACAGACCGTGCGGTGACCTCGGAACCCCAAGAGACCTCACCGCACGGTCCGTCACCACACGGTTTTGGGACCCTGGAGGCCCCTGTCGCCCGAGACATCCTCGGACAGGAACTCGAGTCCCAAAACCGTGCGGTGACCACGAATCCTCACTGACTCACCGCACGGTGTGGTCACCACACCGTTTGGGGGCCCCCGACCCGATGCGCGTGGCCGAGAAGGGAAGCGGCCGAGTCTGGCTGCGCACTCTGCCCCAGACCTCCTGCTGGTCCGCGCGTGCCCTGCCGCCGGCCTCTCCCTCTCGGCCAAGGGAGAGCAGCGAGGCGGGTGGGAACAAGGAGGAGGAGGAGGAGGAGGGGGAGGAGGGGGAGGAGGGGGAGGAGGGGAGGGGGAGGGAGGAAGGGAGGAGGAGGAGGAGGGAGGAGGAGCAGGAGGAGGAGGAGGAGGAGGAGGAGGAGGAGGAGGAGGAGGAGGAGGAGGAGGAGGGGCGAGGAGGAGCGAGGAGGAGCGAGGCTACGACAGCGCAAGAAGGCTTAAAGCCAACGCTCGACGAGGGTGACAGGAGGAGAAACCTGGACGGAGGATGAGTCTTCGAGCCTCGGGGCCCAGTCCTCTCTCGACCATTCCCCAGGCGCCCGTTTATCGTCCTGGGGCCCGAACGCTGTCTCTGGAGGCCGAGAACGCGGGGAAAACACCAGACTCTACATTTCCGGATCGCTGGAGATCTGGGGGAAGCGAGAGGGGAATAGGAGGAACAACCGAAGAAGATCAAACATACAACGCGCGTCTCAGAAGGGAGCCGGCCGTGACGGTGGCTGCGCTCGCCGCTGTGGATCTTTTGCTGGTCCGCTCGCGCCGCGCCACCATCCCCGGGCACGGCCGCGGGATTGGATTAAGGGGTCCAGCGCGGATGCAAGAAATCCGCGCGGACCTCCGATTCTTTATGTTTATGCCATTCTTCGTTCCCCTATGGATGGGCGAAGACCAAGGCCCTCTTCCTCCTTGCACCTCCCTTTTCCTTCTTCCGGGGAATAATCATCGGCACAGGTTAAACATTCGGGAGGTCCGCGCTGATTTCTTGGATCGGCGCTGGACTCCCTACTCTGACGCGCCAGGGGCGTCGCCAAAGGCGCCGCCAGGGGTTCCAAAGTCGATGCAAGAAATGCATGCGAATCGCCGACAGTTTATATTTCTGCACATGATAAATCGTCGATGCTCGCACCTCCTCCTCCTCCTCCCTCCTCCTCCTCTCTCCTGCCCCAGCGCGCGTCGGAGGAACAGAGGTTGCCAGCATGAAGGAGCATCAATGTCAGCAATAATGTCTTTGTCAACGCAGACGTCAAACGGTGCATAGAAACAAACACAACCCACGTGACTCTCAGACGCGGATGTCGGGATCATAGAAAAAACAGAAGACGGAGATGACATCGCAACCTGGAACAAAAACACCACTGCACATGATGCGTAGGCGAAGATGCCGTGAAAGTCATTAGCATGGCCCGCGCAGAAGATTTCGTATCGAGGAGCTGCTTCGTATGCCCAAACTGTGCTTCAATTTTGGATCCTTACGTGCATGTCGCCCAGATAAGCTGCGGGATCATGAAGGGGGGTGGGGGTTCTGGAAATAGGGTAGATCCTGGCCTTTGCTTGATAAAACGTGTAATCATCATGCGTTCATTCATCCCTCATGCCTCCTGCCTGCCGCTCATCCCCTGCTGCTTCTACTCCTCCACCTCCTCCGCCTCCTCCTGCCTCTTCTCCGTGACATTCCCACCTCTTGCCTCGTACCCCTGCCTGTTCATTTGCCCCTCCCTCCCCCCCGCCTCATCCCTCCTCCACCTCGTCCCCCTCCACTTCTTCTCCATCGCCTCTTGCTCCGTCTCTTGCCACCTCCTTCGCCTCCCCTCTCCCCCCCTCCCTTCCCTCCCTCCTCCGCCCTCCCCTTACTCCCGACCCACCCGCGGTCCATGCTCCTCGCTCCTCCCTGCCCACTCTCCATTCTTATCTCCTCCCTGCTACCTACCCCCGTCTCCCTTCCCCGCTGCCCCCCTTCTACTTCCCCCTGCCTCCCCTCCCCCCTCCACCTCTGAATCTCTTCATTTCCTCGTCATGCTCCCATTCCTGTTGTTTTTCCTCTTCCTCATTCACGTCCTCGTCCACTTTTCCTCGTCATCCTCCTCGTCCCCTTCCCCTGCCCTCTACACTTCACTCCCTCGCCCCTCCCCAAACCCACCCATCTCCTTCTCCTCCTCGACACCGTCCCGTTCCGCATCCTCGCCACCGCCCTCACACTTGTAGCCATCGTCGACGTGGCCGTCCTCCCCCGCCCCTCCTCTGGCCCCCCCTCCCTCCTCGTTTGTCCTCTTGGGGAGCGGCCCGGGGTGGCGGCGCGGGCGGCGTGCCGAACACCATGACTAGTCCGAGGACCTGCATCAACGTGATGCTGCGGGAAGGGGCGGCGTGACTTGCACGCGGAGATGCCGGCAGGCAGGGAGGGTCGGAGGGAAGGGAGGGAAGGGAGGGGGATGGAGGGGGACGGAGGGGGAGGAAGGGGGAGGAAGGGGGAGGGATGGGGATGGGGAGGGAAGGGGCGGAAGGGATGGGGAAGAGGGGGAGGGAGGGGGAGGGAGGGGGAGGGAGGGAGGGGGAGGGAGGAGAGGGATGGCTACTGAATTGCTGCTTTTAGACATTGCCTCTCCACCGTGTCGCGCTGCTAGTAGAAGGGCTCATCAGACGATTTTGGGCCCAGGCGCCGGTGGCGCAATCCACCGCCCTGCCATGACAGGGCCCCCACCAAAGAAAGAGGGCCCGTACCCGAGACCTCAATCGGAACCAGACTCGCAACCACAAACGGAATCAAGGGGGGTCCAGCTGGGCATGCTCCCGCCTGGGGGCGGTGGCTCTCGTAGGTAGCCCATGGGACGGGTCCGCGGGACCGGAAACTGGGCAAGGCTCGATCGGTTCCGGCGCCGCAAGGATCCGTCCGCCAACGCACGACGGGAGCATGGTCGCCACTGGCGGCGAAGAAAGGCTGGGCGCAACTTCGGGCCTACGCGCGGAGGCGGTCGGTCCCAAACTCGGCTGAGGATTTGCTCCCGCGCCTGCGGGAGAGGGGGCCAGGGGGGCACCTGCTGGTTGGAGTCTCGCAAGCTGCTGTGAGGCCTCGAGGCACGCCTTCGGCGGGCCTGAGCGGGAAGGGTGCAGGCCTCTCCAGATCCGTTACAGGTTCGCTTGCCCTTTGCCTGCGGGTGTGGCCAGTCTGCCCGTCCCAGACAGCGCCGAGCTAAATCACGTTGTGTGTGGCCGTGTGGCCACACCTGGTGCAGAACAGAAGCTGCACCTAGGTGCCTCGGTCAACACATGTGAGTCGTGAGCCTGTCGACCGATCGAACGCGGACCCCGAAAATGAAACACGTCACCAATCCCCGAGAAGTCACGAATGGGTTCGACTGGAAGACGCTCGGTCTGGGAAGCGATAGGGATCTCGCCGCTGTCGACAAAAGGCTGGCAAATGCCGCAACCCCATGTGCTAGTGACGAATGAGGCGAGGCAACGAGGGTGGTCTGAAGGCGGGGAGCCGTCGCGGGTCGTTCTTTGACAGACCACGCGCCACAGAACACTGGGACCCTTCTCGAAAGTGCGAAAGGCTCGGCACCTCTGACGGACGAGGCCCGCGATCGCGTCGTATTCGTCGGTCTAGAGCTATCTGCGCAGCGGCGCCTGCTAGTATATCCGCCTGCTCGAATACCTGCTGTCAAGAGAAGTTGGTGGCCTCTGGGTTGCTCCAGGGACTGGTGAGAGGGAACCCAGATCACACTCACGTCATTGGCTCCACCCTGCCTTGAGCGAAACAACTGACGCACAATTCGCCGGCCCACCAGGCCAAAAGCGTGCTACGATCTCCGGTGACTGGTTAACCATATACTCTAGTTCGCGCGCGCGGGGCAGCTTCTGGGGGCTTCCGGAGGAAAAGTACCCCGAGCAGGTCCCGGCCAGTGCGGCTCAGAGATGGTTTTCCTCCTCGGCGCTGCCTTCCAAGCCTCCCAGAGCGCTCGAGCGCTCCAGGAACGCGCCAAGGAGACGGTCCAAGGGGCCCCGAGTCGCCGAAAGTGTTCCAAGACGCCCATGCTGGTCTCCAGACGGCCGTAGACGCCGCCGACGAGCTCCAAGAGAGCCTCAAAAGGCCCTCCAAGAGGGCCCAGCAGGGCTCCAAAGCGACCAAGAGGGCTGCCTTCCAGGCATCCCAGAGCGCTCCAGGAAGGCGCCAAGAAGGCTCCGAGACGCTCCCGAGACAGTCCAAGGGGCCCCGAGTCACCGAAAGATTGTTCCAAAACGCCCATGCTGGTCTCCAGACGGCCCTAGACGTCGCAGAGAAGCTCCAAGAGAGCCTCAAAAGGCCCTCCGAGAGGGCCCCAACCCCAACAAGCAAACATCGATTGTGTCATAGACGACGCTCGCAGGTTCACAGTGCCGAAGACTGCCCAATAGCCTTCCAAGATCGCCCCAAGATGGCCCAACATGCCCCCAAGATGCGCCCAAAACGGCCCAAGAGGGCTCCAAGACGGCCTAAGAGGGCTGCCTTCCAGGCCTCCCAGAGCGCCCCAGGACCGCGCCAAGAAGGCTCCGAAACGCCCCCGAGACGGTCCAAGGGGCCCCGAGTCGCCGAAAGATTGCTCCAAGACGCCCATGCTGGTCTCCAGACGGCCCTAGACGCCGCCGAGAAGCTCCAAGAGAGCCTCAAGAGGCCCTCCGAGAGGGCCCCAACAAGCAACAATCGTCTCATTTCCGTAGGACAACGTGCATTTCTGGCATGGGCGACGTTCGGAGGTTCACAGCGTCCAGGACTGCCCACGAGCCCCCAAAGATCGCCCCAAGATGGCCCAACATGTCCCCAATATGCGCCTAGAAGGCCCAGCAGGGCTCCAAAGCGACCAAGAGGGCTGCCTTCCAGGCATCCCAGAGCGCTCCAGGAACGCGCCAAGAAGGCTCCGAGACGCCCCCGAGACAGTCCAAGGGGCCCCGAGTCGCCGAAAGATTGCTCCAAGACGCCCATGCTGGTCTCCAGACGGCCCTAGACGTCGCAGAGAAGCTCCAAGAGAGCCTCAACAGGCCCTCCGAGAGGGCCCCAACCCCAACAAGCAAACATCGATTGTGGCATAGACGACGCTCGCAGGTTCACAGTTCCTTCCAAGATCTCTCCAAGATGGCCCAACGTGCCCCCAAGATGCGCCCAAGAGGGTTCCAAAACGGCCTAAGAGGGCTGCCTTCCAGGCCTCCCAGAGCGCTCCAGGAACGCGCCAAGAAGGCTCCGAGACGCTCCCGAGACGGTCCAAGGGGCCCCGAGTCGCCGGAAGATTGCTCCAAGACGCCCATACTGGTCTGCCGCCGGTCCCAGACGCCGCCGAAAAGCTCCAAGAGAGCCTCAAGAGGCCCTCCGAGAGGGTCCCAACAAGCAAAAATCTATTCATTTCCTTGGGAGAACGTGCATTTGCGGCAAAGACGACGTTCGGAGGTTCACAGCGCCCAAGACTGCCCAAGATCCCCCCAAGGTCGCCCCAAGATGGCCCAGCATGCCCCCAAGATGCGCCCAAGATGGCCCAGGAGGGCTCCAAGACGGCCCAAGAGGGCTCCAAGATGCCCCCAGAGAGGGAACCCGAAATGACATGTGAAACTTTCCGACCCAAGGGGCCCCTCCGAGACCGCCAGCAGGCTCCCAAAAAGCACCCAGAAGTCACAAGAAGCACCCGAGAGACCCAAAATCAAGACCCCAGGGCAACCAAACGGCCCTGACGAGGCCTCAAGAAGCTTCAAAACTGCCTCCAAAAGGCTTCCGAGACACCTGCCAGGAGACCCCAACACCGCCGTATGAAATGCGCCCTGCGCTCCATCGACAAGCCCCAGAGTGAGCATCCACGACCAGCAAGCCCCCACGAAGGCACCCGAAGTCCAACAAAACACCACACAACTAGCCGCCCGGTGAACAACGACCGATTCCCCTGACAATTTCCAAGGAATCCAGACGAATCGCCCCAACATCATGCCCCACGCAACGCTTCAGAAAATAGCCGACGCCCCTGCAACTCAACACCGCCAACGACCACTCGGCCTGTCGACGCAGCGGTGCCCGAAAATGGGCCGGCGGAGTGAGCGAAGCAATTGAATGAACCAAATATCAACATTCTGATTCTTGCATTTAGAGGCGTCTAGCCGTAAAATCGACAGGCTTGCCAACCCCAAATAGCGCCGAAAGGTCTGTGACAGAAGTGAACTGGCCTACCGTGGTCTCTAGCGCAACGCAGAAAGCGTGCAACTCGCCTCTGGGAACCGTTTGCCGAAGGCCAAGTAGAAGAGCATGGGAGCCCGAGGAGAGGACCCAGGAGGAGGAGTCGGCATCCCATCCGAGCTAAGGAACTCCAGAGCCCACGCGCCTCCTGCGGACGTCGCCAGAGTGCGCCCCTCCAAACCACCTCCGAAGAGGGCGAGCTCTCCTGAGGGGGAGCTGCCCTGAGAACGCTGCACACGAACCTGGAGCTTCGCAGTGTGTGTTGGGACCACATCCGGGGATGTAACCCAAGATGAATAGACAATCTCAAGGCAACGCAGCAGAAGTCTGCGCACTCGTTGTTTTATCAACGCACGGGCACTCGTTCAGAAGATACCGGTTTCGTGCCAACGGCTGCGGTGAATGGACAAACGAGGAAGCATGCACGAGCGGAGACAGGAGGCAAAAAGGGGGGGAAAAAGAGAGGGGGGTCGGCAGGGTGCGCCGCATCCCCCTCCACTGATAGATGATCCTGGGTCGAGGGTTCATAGGCCCCCTCCCAGACGTCACGACGACGACGCCGCCGACGCCGCCGCCGCCGACGGCGACGACGACGCCGACGCCGACGATGACGACGACGCCGGCGCCGACGCCGACGACGAGGCGGACGCGGACGCGGACGACGCCGCCGCCGACGACGACGACGAGGAGACGCCGAGGAGGCGACGGGGACGACGACGAGACGACGAGAGACGAACCACCCCACACCCACAGGGGGTGGGGGGTGCACTGGCACCCTCCACCACGCCACGCCCACAGGGCCACGACCACATGGGGGAGGGGAGCGAACCCGTTCGCGAGGTCTTCGCGAAGTTCACGCGCGTACCCAGCCAGCCGGGGGGGGGCGGGTTCGATTCCATATGCATTGGGTGGCAGGGGGGGTCCACCCTGAATCATATATCTCCCACCCTGGGGGGTATACATCCCGCAAGTTCCCTTTGCCGTAGCTCCCAAATAGCGTAGCGGGGAGCAGGGAAATATGACGGACGTACGTTCTGCATTCCACCCTTTCTCCTCTTGGCCTCTAGGGGCTTCTATGGTTTGCGTTCTGTAAGTGCAAGCGCTCGCTTGTCTCATTCGCCGATGCTCCAAAGGGAGCCGGAGGCTGGCGTTTTGCGTCGCACGGGCGTCACCGTTGTTCGTGCAAGCCGGAGTCCCTTGGGGATTGCGGCGTTGTCAGTTGGGTGGTCTGCCGTCGGGCCGTGGGCCCCAGCCCGCAGAGGCAGCATGCAGCAGGCCTGGGCAAGCGCGATGCCTGGCAATCCCAGGCGCGAAATGAGGAACGGCAGGCCAAACATTGCCGCGGAGAGCTGTTGACGGCGCACTTTTTTCCCACCCACCCATCCCGTGGTGCGTGCTCTGGCCGGGGGGCCAGGGGCACATCGCCCCAAGGCAGCCCTGGCCAGGCGCGCGACATTGTCATTCCTTTTGTACGCACTGGAGCGCAAACCCACACGAGGGAGGATGGAGGATTTTCTCTGAGTGCCTCAAGGCCAGGGGGGACCCACCCCTGCGGCCGGCCCTGGGCGGAAGGGGGCGGGGCGAGCTGGTGAACTGTGAGGGCGTTGAATGTGCCAATGGCTCGCATCCTGAAGTTTTTTCCTCCAGTTCCTCCCAATCCGCGCTTCCATGTGCACCTCCTTCTACCCTACGCCTCTGTCTCCGTCCTCCCCTTCGAGCCTTTTCCTCTTCCCCCCTCCTCCCCCTCCCCTCGTTTCCGCTCCCTCCTCCCTCCTACTCCCTCCATTGCCCGCTCTCTTCTTCCTCCCCCTTCGCGCCTCGGCCTTCCCCCATGCCACCCCTCCCTGGTGTGCCATCACGTTCCAGCGCCATCGGCCCTGCAATGTTCCCTGTGTGCGGTTGCCAGCACCGCGCCCGCATCAAGAATTCGCTTGCTTATGATGCAGCGTATTTCTGTCCGCCCCCCGCTCGCCGGCCGGGGCGTGGCGCCTCTTCGTCGCCAGGGAGGGTGGGAGGGAAGACGAAGAATCTGATAATAATAACGAGGACGCATGCGGATTTTGAAAGCTCGGAAGATGGGGGCGGAGAATCGAATGCGACACCTTCAGACGAGAGACGCCGCGGGAATGAGCGCGCGCGCGCGCGGAAGTGCCCAGCCGTGGCGGGACCAGGATATAGACGACTGCGAGGTAGCGACGTCTGCAAGCGGGGGGGCTCGCCGCCTGTGGCCGTACAACAGATACGACACCATGATGGAGATCACCTGGGCTTCCCGCCGCAAGGCCAGTTCCAGACGATATGACTTTCTCACGACACCGACCCTCTGAGATCTCACCCAGCTGGTTTTTCATGCGGAGTCGTTTTTTGACGGCCCCCAGGCCCAGAAAGGGCCCCTGCGGGCCGCAGATTGGCAAACACCTCCCGTCTCGATTCTTGCTGTTGACCCGAGGGGGTCCGGGCCCGCAGGGGAGCAGGACGGCGAGCGGCGCGCCGGGGCGCGGCAGGCCAAAGGGCCGGGGGGGGGGGGCATCGGAGCAGGAGGCCAAGAACGCGGCCGATGGAAGAGAGGAGAAAGAGGAGCAGGAGGAGAGGGAGAAGAGCGGACGGGGAATAGGAGGAGAGAGGAGGGGGGGAGGGGAGGGGAGGAGGAGGACCAAAACCAAGACCAAGAAACGCCGGGGACTCCAAGAGTGGTCAGAGGAAAACAAAACTGGAGGGCCTCAAAAGGGGCCATTCAAGAGTCCCTGCGAGGGCAATAACCCGCGGAATCCAAAAAGAACCTGCTGGAGGGCCCTCAGCTGGAGGGAGTCACCCCCGCTGGCCCCGAGGCGGGCCCCAATGCGTGGAGTGCCACGCGGGGTGCCTGCGGGCACCAGCCTCACCTTCTACCTACGTCTCGACTGCCTCTGCCACCCCACCTCCTGGGACCTGGGCCTGGCACGGGCCGCCTTGGACCTCGGCGCACGACCCTCTTCCCGATCGGAGGCGGCAGCAGCGATCCTCTCTTCCTCCACCCCCCCCACTCCCGACCCACCCCCACCCGCTCCCTCCACGAAAGCATCCCTACCAGCTCCCACTCGGATGTCCTTGATGACACCGCGGCGCACGAGCTGCTGCAGACGGACGCTGTCCCGCAGCGCCTGCGGCAAGGCGAGTTGGCTCACAACACGAGCCTTGGGCGGAGGCAGGGAGGTCGACGCTCTGGGAGACCGCTTGCGTGTCGTCATTTCTTCCTGAGTCCCCTCAGCTCCCACAACATTTGAAATAGTTGGCTGCGCACTAGATCCATCAGAGATTCCAGACCCTTCAAGCTGAACACCAGATACTGAGACTCCACTATCTGCAACACCCGTTCGCTGAGAAGGAGTGCCCACGATCACTGAGGTATGAATTCGCTGGGCCCCAGAGCTGTCCCCACCAGTCGGAGAGCCCCTCATCAATTCTGCATCTACTTTCGCTTGCTGAGGAGGGCAACGATCTGGCGCTCGAGCGGGCCCTTCGGCGCCGACCCCACCAGCCGCTGATAATCGATCTCGGCCAAGATGGCCATGAGGATGGCCTTGAGCTTGGGGCCTGCGGGGTGGTCGCCGTGGATCACGAAGCGGAACTTCGCCTTCCCCTCCATCTTCTTGCTGTGGTCGCCCCTCGGCACCTGGAGCGAGAAGTGCGTCACGTACTCCGCTATGAAGCTCGGGGGCCTCTGGTGGACGTACTGCTCCCAAAACTCGCGCATGAGCGCTGCTCCCGAGCCATCTCCTGCCGTCTCGGCACGCTTCTTCGCCGCATTCATGATCATGTAGAAAACCGTGACAAAAGGTGGGCCCATTGCCCCCAAGTCGACCTCGGGATCGGATTTCTTGCGCTCCTTCAGCTCTGCGATCGACTTCGTGTAGTACTCGTTGGCTGCGAGCCCCGCTCGCGCGAGGAAGTGGTCCTTGGGGATCAGGTACGTCTGAATCACGTTGCTCTCCAGGGTGGCGACGTCTCTTGCGTTGATCAAGGTTAGCCTCGCCACGGCCTCCAGCAGGCTCTTCTCGTCCTTGCGGCTGCCTGAAGCGCCTGCGCCGCCACCCTGAGACTCGGCCACTCGGGCCTCTTTTGACGCCGGCTCGCCGTCGCTGCCCCGCTTCACGCCGCGCGAGCTGAGGGCCCACATCGGCCGCTCGCCCTGGAACAGGTCCTCGTCCCACATCTGCACGTCGGTCACGGGCATGCCTGAGAGGTTGCACCCGCGGGCGGAACGGCAGGTGGGTGCAGGCGTGCTCGGTGTAAGCCTCCAGGGAGGTCCAGTTCGAGCCACAAAGGCCGCAGCGTACTTGTTCAGGACGGGTAAGGGGCCTCAGAGTGGACGCTTTATCTCCAAGACATCTCCCGTGTATCAGGGCCCCGTGGAGGTGCTTTTGGGCGCTCTTGCGGTCCCACAGGACCTCGCCACACGAGATGCATTGGTTAGTGACCGTGAGTATCTGTGAGAGCTTGAGAGCACCATGTACCTGTCGGAGATGATTTACGAGACCTTTGCGTGACGCAAAAGCGGCCCCACAGGGCCCCTCCTCCAGCATCCACGGGCAGGTGAACGACAGGTGCGTGTTAAGGGCCCCCTCCTCAAGCGCGACGGGGTCCTCGAACAGCTGGAGCCCAGGGGGGGGCACCTCAACGTCGAAGTGACGGCTCCGAAGAATACTCACATCCACCCTGGTGAAGTCCTGGCCTATCTCAAACGTGAACAACTGGAGAAGAGACCCGCCCGCCCTATCCCAACACGAGGCCGCGTCTTCATTCCACTGCGTAAGCTCCACCACATCATCATGGAACTGCCGAGCCCACGGATTCGCCCCATACCTCAGAGACCCATTCGGCAAGAACATCCCCTCCTCCTCATAGGACACACTCCCAAAGACAGCGGCAATCATCTGCTTGTGGGCGCCAGGCCGGCGGACGCATGCCTGGAGCCAGCGGAGACGTCGTACTCGGAGCTCGCTCGCGATCGGCACTAACCTCCACCACCTCATCACCTCCTCCGTCGTCATGCTCCTGATCTGACCATCCTCGTCCTCCCACGTCGCCTCGCCTCGCATCGCTCGTCGGGCAAGTCCCGCAACCGCTAGCTCCAGGGTGCGCAACTGTGAAGCTGTCAAAACAAACGCTTCCACTCCAGACAGACCAGTATTCAGCAAGTGACAGAGGAAGATGCATCTTTTCCATCGGTGTGGCACACCCTTCTGATACCAGAAACGTCCAAGTCGGAAGAAGGCCACCTTCATGGCCCGCACACGCTTCACAAGTTCTGCACTGAACGTCTGAGCAGGGGTGAGAAACGGACCAAGATAGCGAACCTCATCAGTCACTCGAGTCCCAAGATTCCGAAGCACTGCAGCGGCACGTCTTCGGTAGCTGGTGGGCACCCGCAGAAGGGCTTCCTGTTTAGATTCGTTACGCTTGAGGCCGATCGCAGCCAACTCCTCATCCAGCATCCTATCGTTAGTGGTGAGAAGGTCCTGGAAGTGGTCTACCCTAAACGGAGGCCCCAAGATAATCTTCTTAAGCAGGTCGTCCGCAAACTTCTGGAGCCCCAAGTGCACCTGTGGAGACCCAGGGAGGACCTCTTCAGGAATAGTAGCCCACAGACAAGCCTCCCCCTCCTCGTCATACTCCTGGAATCGAGCAAGCCAGCGATCGACAGGTGGCCGAAAGACTCTCACAAATGACCTCGCGGCATATGGATCCCCCTGGAGACTCCCGCACCCAGGTCTAAGGAAGAGTGGCCCCTCGGCAGATGGCAGAAGACATCCTGAGCACCGATGACGCTGACGGCAAAGACGAATATCCCGAGGTCGAACAATATTGTGGCACGCCTGATCTAACTTAGCCCAGTGTGAAGAAGCGAACGCATTCGCCAGGTCCTTAAGCGAATCACACCACGAAAAGCCTGCAGCCGACAACCTCCAAGAAGTACACATATTAGCTACGATCGCATCCTCTCGCCTCCGAGACCTCAGAAAGCCGTGGTCACAGTCCGAATCTACATACTTCGGTCCCAGCCTCATCAGGCCCTCGAAGAACCCCTTGGAGATTGGATCCAGCCCATGAACGATACGTTTCCCCCGAGGTCCAGGAAGAGCACTTTTTGGTATCGCGAACCCCCGACTGCAATTCCAGATCGAGGGGGCAGTTCCCCAGAAACGTATCATGGTGAAAAGCTTATGCATCCACTGTCTGGCCTCAACCGCGTCCGTGATGGCGGTGTCAGCCCCCAAACCTACCCGGCTCACATTCGACTCGGGGGCCGCGGGCGTGTGCAGGACCAGGTGCCACAGTTCCAGCGGCAACGACCATGGAGGAACGCTACGTCGCTTGCCCGCCCTCCTGGTGTAGTGCTGCAGCTGCTCCATGTCGATGGTGGCTTGCAGCCAGGCCTCTTGGAGACGCTCTGGTCGTGACTCGGCTGTCGGAGGAGAGTGTCGCCAAATCTGTCTCATGTCCACCATCTCCTGCCAAACAGCCTGATGCGCAGCCAGTCCCCCTTCACAACCTGCAGCTCCCAAGACGCCCATCCATTCTTCAGAGCTCGGCATCGTTCCATCAAGTCGACTATAGTCGCGACGAGCCCGCCCAAATCGACCTCCAGCAAGTCTGCGCGAAAGGCGCTGAACGAGGGCCAGGTCTCGTCGCTTCCATGCCTGCCATATTTCTTCCACTAACTGTTCCTGCTTCTTCTTTTTCTCGTCCCTCGCTATCTTCTTACATCTGGCCGAAATCGATCGAAGCTCCTGACAACATGCAGCAAACTCGTCGTCGGTCGTGTCGTGATTCATCCTGGCTCGAAGTTCGCGTCGTTGTCTTAGGAGGGCGAGACGATGTTCGGACAGCTGGGACCTCTGCGATTCAGGGCGTGCACCCCGAGAGAAAAACTGTGCCCCCACTTCCCTAAAGATCCCGTCCAATTGCAGCACGATAGCATCGGGCTCTGCGTCTCTGTGCTCCCAATCTGGCCAATCTTGTGCAAGACGTCTCTCAACCTCACGCACGAAACCCTCACGAAGCTGACCACCTCGAAGATTCTTCATCAGTTTATCCCGATCCCACTGCACCTGTGAGTATATAACCCCATCAGGGGAGGCCGCCGCAGTCTGTCGTTGAGCAGCAGCAACATGTGGGACTCGCATCTTAAGTAATACTGGTGTGTGGTCTCGATAATCTCGGCATTTGATAACCTGAACCCGCTTCCCCAATCTATGAATCGGACTCGCCATCATCACTCGCTCGCACCACTCCAGAGGGATCGCGACAAAGTCGATCATGGAAGCGCCACCTGCGGATCCGAAGAAGGTGGGGGACCATGACCGCACCGTCGTGGGCACGAAGAGCCCGTACTCCTCCAGAACTTCTCTGAACGACTCCCCCGCTCCCTGTCTATGACATTCTCGAGTTCGAACTGGTCCCAATGCAGACGAAGGTACTGCCTGCCACTCCCCATTTAGCTTAGATATGCCCAGCCCGTCGTTGACATCGCCCATCACTATAGGAGAGACCCGCATAGGCAGCACCCGCAGAATTTCCCAAAGCCAGTCCCGAATCTGTTTGCAGGCGGACAAATACTGCTTGACCTGCTGCGACTTATTGGGCTTGGGAGGAAAGTATACCACTATCACATAGAAGAGATACCCATAGCGCGACAACTCCACGGCGAGACCTCGTCCCTGGAGCGCCCTGGGGGGAAGATCAATCTTCCGAATATTCCTCTGAGTCCATCTGGGAGGTAGTATGCAGGCACACCCGCACGACCGATTCGAGAATCCCCCCGCTCGCCAGCCTGCTTGAACGACGACTCGCGAGGCCTGCGTCGAGATGCTGTAGCCCTCATCCGCGACCTCCTTGATCTGTGTGCCTGCCAAACCAACAATATCAAATCTCTGAAACTCATCTAGCAGCTCAACCATGCGGTCCCCACTGGCGTGCAGCGGGTTGAAGAAGAGAGTGGGAAGAATACGAGACGACATCAGGGCTGGCCCAAGAGCCCAGAGGTGTGTCAGGAGAGAACAAACCATAAGAGTGGTTTCATATGCTCGCTGTGCTGCGCTGCTCTGCTGAAGCCAAGCGGCAGCTGGGAGGAGGAGGAGGAGGAGGAGGAGGAGGAGGAGGAGGAGGAGGAGGAGGAGGAGGAGGAGGAGGAGGAGGAGGAGGAGGAGGAGGAGGAGGAGGAGGAGAGGGCGAAGGGGGACGAGGAGAAGGACGGGGCAACATCGCCCCCCCCCACCCCTTGCCGCCCGTCGACCTGCTCCCCGCCGCGATCCTCGAGGCACGGCGGGAGCGTTGGACAGGGAGAGGTCAGGTCCGAGGTCGCGGAAGCTGGGGCGCGTGTGCGCCCCCCTCCCCAGCGCTCCTCTCGGTCACGGTCTCGCCCCCGCCCCCCCCCCGAGGCACCGCACTCTCCGCGGCCCGTGACAGTGTCGGCTCTGGCCCATGCTGGGGGGCAGCTCCCGAGGTCTTCGTGGGTCAGGCCCGACCGCTGGACCACGAGGCCAGTTTGAGTAAGCCCAACGCTGGGCCAGGTTCGGTCGGGTTGACCGGGGCTGTGTTGTTTTCGGGTCGACACCCGGCCCGCTCCCGGGGAATCCTCAGAATGCGGCGATGTTCTTAAATCTGGCCGAACCCGGCGATTGCAAATCTGGCATCGGGGTCGAACATTTTGATCACGGCCATCGCCGATGCGTAGCCTAACCTCGGCGGCGAGCCCCGAGGAAGTGAGATGGGGTAGGCCTTCTGACAGGAGGCGTGGCTTCTCAGAAACACTCGCGCCTTCGGAGAAGACTAGTTAAAGCCTTCCTCGAGGACGCGGAAGACTTCTCAGAAACCCTCGCGCCTCCTGAGAAACCCCGCCGCTTTCTGAGAAAGCCTGCACCCCCTCACCTCCCTCCGGAAGCGCCGCCAACAATCTCCCACGAAGTGCAACCGCGCCCGCGTGCGCGTGCGCTGACCCGTGCCACGGCGGACGCGCAGACGCATCCGGGGACGCCACCCGCACGAGCACGCCGCCGTCGCCGTCTGGCACGCGCCAGGCGCACGGAACCGGTCACGAGCTGGTTCGGTGGAGCGTCTGAACCGCGCGCCTGCCAGGGCGCCCCGCTCCCGCCACGCACGCAGCGCGCGCCGGGGATCTTCTGACCCCGGTCAGCCCAGACCCGGGTCAGCAGGAAACCCAAACCTGCAATGCAGGAAAAAACAACTGCAGCGCAGGTCTTCGCAAAAAACCCGGGTCCGCCAATATGCGCGGCCGCCTCGCGGCCACGAGCGGCTCGCTAACCCGGGTCAACCAGAGGGGGTCTTCGCAGGATCCTGCAGGCCTCCTGCTCCTCCTCCTCCTCCTCCTCCTCCTCCTCCTCCCTCCTCCTCTCCCTCCTCCTCCTCCCTCCTCCTCCTCCTCCTCCTCCTGCCCTGGCTGAACCCCCGTCTGCATTGACCCCCGTCTCTTGAGCCCCGAAGTGCGGGGCCGGAGATCTACCCGGCCGTGCAGGCCGAAGGCGGCAGCGGGTGGCTGAGCCTCCCCCTCCTTCCCTCCTCCCTCTCCCCCTCCCCCTTCCCCCTGCCTCCCTTCGGGGGGTGTCCAGGAGGGGGGCTTCTCGCGACTCACGGCAAGAGGCGCGCGCACGGCCGAGAGGGAGGTGGGGGGAGACCAGGGGGCGCGTGGACACAAGAAGAGGGGGGGGTCATGACATCGGGGTAGATCTCACTGACATCGGGCCCTGGGACACGCAAATAAATACACACACAAATGACAGGATTCCCCTATACTTTCCCACATGTTCTGGATTTTTGTCTCCCCCCCACTCCCCATGTTTTCCAATATTTTCCTGGGAGTCGACGATTGATTGGGTCTGTGTTTTTTCCCTCCTGCAAGAAAACGGGGGCCATGACATCGGGGTAGATCTCGTGGCCCCGGCCATGGTTGCCTCCCTCTGCCCCCGGGATAAGAAGGGGGGCCATGACATCGGGGTAGATCTCATGGCCCCGGCCAGTGTAGCCGTTCCCTCCCCCAGTCCTCCCCCCCCCGCATGGCCGCCCCCGGTGCCTCTCAGATCTCCCTCTGCCCCCGGGATCTCGCCTTCTCCGCCCCCCCCGCACAGACACCTCCCAATTACACGCGGCCGATCCTCGCACATCTGCACCTCGCATTGGCAGCATCATCATCCTACTACTCAGAAGAGCAAAACCAATCTCCACTGCCAACCCAAACCAAATCGGCCGCCAAATGGAACTGTACAAGTGACGACGGTCGTTCAATACCACCCGACATGATATCATATGTAACGAGGGAGAGGGTGGGACCTCACATTCCTGCTCCGTTATCCTCCTCCGTCTCGTGTCCGTGTTCCTTCCTCCCGCAACATCGTAATTAGCCTGTTCGCACTGCTCGTAAAGAAAGACGTGCCACCACTTTGGGGGGCCCCCGCTACTGACCCATGACATTCAACCCGCAAGATGGATAGTGAACGGGTGCTGGAAGTCTGGTGATGCGCGATGAGGGCGGAGGCTGGAACTTGAGCTTAGACGCCCGAGAAGAGGCTCCCCTTCCCTTCCTGCCTCTCTTGCCCTATCGCTCTCTCTCTCTCTCTCTTCCTCGCCCTGTCCCTGTGTCAATCACACTCTCTCGGGGTATGCACATGCACATCTGTATACATGTACGTGCATCTCTGACTGCCTGTCTCACTTTCGACCTCGTCACCGTCTGTCACTTACACACGACTGTGATGCACACGAATCCGCCCACATGGCCTCGCCTGCGGCGGCATGGCAAAGCCCTTTCTATCTGCATCCCTCTTCTGGAGGCCTCCCCAAATGGGCTCCGAGTAGATAAGGTCGGAGGATCGTGCCGCATATGCATCGGCGCCGTCGGCATGGAGAGAATCAGGCCTCACATCGAGCCGCATCGCCGATGCATCGGCGATGCGGCACCATCCTCCGACACCACCTGCTCTGGCACCGCTCGGGAGGCCCAGGCCCTCTCTCTCTCTCTCTCTTTGTGACCCTCGCCGGCTACCCCCTCATGCCCCATCCCGCCATCTCGGCGGTTCAAAGATGGGGGGCCCTGCAGCTCCACGGATAAGAAGTGGATCACAACCGGAACCTTCACTGCTTGAAGTGCTCGTACCTAGGGCCCCAGCCCTCTTTGAACCGCCGGCCACCGTTCCTCCAACCGTGTTCCTCACCCTGCCGGCAGCCATATGCACCTGTCTCAAATTCATCGTGGCGGCCAACACCAACGCGCCGAACTCCTTAACCTGTCTGGGAGGCAGCGCCAAGCGGGACCTCAAAACAAGCAGGAATCTGCGACGAGCCAGACATACCCGATGCACAACGGATTGGCGACACAACGCGATTTATTACACAACCTGCTGACGCTGCACAACACGTGGAGAAACGGGTGCGTGTGCGCCCCTTTCTTGTGCTTTTTGATTTTCTAACCGCAGCCCCCTGATAATAAATCATCCCCCCTTTTGCCCTTGTATCTCTTTATCCACGGAGTCGAATGGTGTTCAACTGAAACAGCAGGCGGGGAGGCCGACCTTCATTATCCCCTTCCAGAGTTCCTATCGTAGCTCTGATTGTGAGGATGTCTCAGGCGAAACGTGATCCATAAGTCCTAACATCGATATCTCCGGGAACCAATGAATTCTCCCGCCTGGCCCCGGACTTACCATCCCAAGGGGATGATTATCATCAGCGTGCGGTTATTCTATTGTCACTTCGGGGGTTCGCTTGACCCCTCTTGAACTCTCTTATATAACCTCTCGTGGGTTTGCCGAAACCTCTGGGGGCGTCTTGTTTTTGGTTTGTTTGCTTGCGCGTTCCACTAATCAATGATAGTTGCGGCAGTTTGCCGAGGGCGGGTTTTGCTGTTTAGCCGTCCCAGCTCCTTCTGAACCCTTGCGGGGTACCATGCGGATGTCTGAAAGCTTTATCGGGGCGTTTCTTAGGCGTCGCAGGCGATTGGAAACCTCTGAGGCCTCCTTCGGCCGTTTCAATCAGTTTTGGGGCTCTCTCGGGCTGTCTTGCCATGCTCTGGGCACCCTAGCACTCTCGTGAGTCGTCTTGGTGCTCTCTCGCGCTATCTTGGATCTTGCCAGAGGATCTGTCGGGTCGCCTTGAGGCGTTTGCCCCACCAGTAGCGCGCGAACGCATTTTCAGTCGATGAGCCTTGGCAGCGAAACAGGTGTGGCGACCAATTCTATGTTGCCTCTGCATGTTCGCTGTCTCGATCACCTACTTGCACCTCTCGAAGACCCTCCTCGAAGCCTCTGTGGGCATCTCGGGGACTCTGAAATGGAGATCCGATGTTTCCCCAGTTCGGAACCCCCGAAATCTAGATTTTTCCAAGGACCTGTCCTCTTCATCACGAACCGTTCTTTGACGGTCCCAGGCCCTGGGCAAGGGTCCCCACCTCAAGAACGATCCACCTCGCGAGAAGCCAGGCGCCAAACGTGGATGCAGCACAATTCCACGCAGAAGCTGAAGCTGAAGCCAGGGTTCCCAGGTCAGGTAAGCCTCGCGCCTCTCGGTGCGTGAGCAGAGAGAAAAGTGTCCAACCAACGTGCCTTTAGCAATGTGGCCAAATCTTTCCTACGCGCTCCCGCTCGCGAGCTGCGCCGCCGTCTTGGCGGAAATGGTCAGCGAACCGCGCATGGTAGCCAGCAGCTGCCAGCTCAATATTCCGCGCAATGTGCCCCCACGTTTGGCGAGGCCTACGTCGCCTCCTCGCCCCCGCAGGCCTGCCCAGCTCCAAAGTTCCCGGTTCAAACACCGAGCGGCGAACTGGATCGCTGCCGGGTCGCCTCGCCAGCTGTCCCATGAACACCAACTGTCTTCTAGCCTGGTGATTGCTGAGCTCCTTCTTGCCCAACAATTTTGAGCACGGCTGCGTTGGACACCCTACTCAAATACGCATGAGGGATTCGACATTTTCGCCGGGGACAGCGGATCTGGAAGGCATCCAGCCGTTGACGCTCCGTTTATTCAAACATGCCGGAAAACCAAAATGCATACATAAGTTTAGAAACAGTGCACGCGTTGAAAGTCTGTATTTTACGATGCTTGCTCACTAGCATGTGACCAAATCGAATGCAACACCTTGGTATCTTCGATTGCTGCTTTCAGTCTGAGGCTTAGCTCGGATCCGACCCGCCCGTCTGCCGACAATGCTGTGCCCAGATATACTTTGGAACTCTTGCTTGCGATCGGCGTCCTGGAATGGCTGTACATGTAATCGTCTGCCCTGGCTTTCGTGAGTTCGAGTTTGCCTCAATTGATGATCGGCCCGTAGTGCGACCCGCAAAACTCGACGCACCTCATCAACTCCTGCACCACCGAAAAATCGTTGTCGAGCACGAAAGTGTCGTCCGAATATGCCAAATCCCTTATCACATGCATTTTTTGTCTGCGGGCCGATATGCCGGTGGGGCTCCGCCTGGGCGTCAGCCAGTAACGTCGTCATTGCGATGGTGAACAGGAGTGGTGACAAAGGACACCCCTGACATGTTCCATAGTGTCAAGGTCGCTCGTCCGAGTTGGATCCAAAATGCGCCAGGATGAAAGCCAGACTCTCGCAAATTGCTGACACCATCTGGACAAAAAGGCACGGGCACCCGAATCTTCATAAAGTGGATGCCAATGCAACAGGCGACACCGAATCGAACATTTTCGCTCATTCCAACGCCAAGAAATAGTCTGTGCCGCCTCGTGTGCCCCATGCGTCCTCAAGGACCCCGCGGTCTACGAAAGCTGCGTCCGCCGTGCCCCGTCTGGATCGGAAACCACAGTGTGTCTGCCAGATTCTGTCTTCGGCCCCCGCGTGCTTCAGCCGCTTTAGCAACACAGTTGCGAACATCTAGTATCCAATGGGTAGTCAGCTGATTAGCCGATAGTCCACAAAAGAAAAACCCAAATCACTCGATGGATGGTTTTCGCTGAAGAGATCGACCGGGAACCCAGGAGCCCGGGAACCCAGAACCCACCGAAATCGGCCCAGAACCAATAACCTGGAACCTGGAACCCGAAACCCGGGAACGCTCGTCAAATCTTTCAACTTCCGCTAGGACACCTTCAGTGCATGCGCTGATTGGGGAATAAAGCATCCGTATTCGCGACCTGTGCCAATCATGAAGCACTTGCCCATTCCCCCAGACAGTGTTGCAGAAACGTGTAACCCACGCAACCGCTGTAGTTCCATCCTCCGTGGGTGTTCTCCGAAACTCTGGTGGCCAGTCGTCGGGCCCTCCAGCTTTTCCTGGCTTAACAGCGCGGGCTGCACGATGTACCTCGTCTTCTGTGATGGCACCAAGATTGATGTTTAATTCGGTCTCGTAGAGGGCGTCCGTCGGCATAGCGCTCATCGGCCGCACTGCCCATTGCACCCGCTCCAGATGCTCAGCAAAAAGTGTTGACCCGGCAGTCACTGTCCGCCATATCCCCCGTGGAGTTTCTGAGCCTCCCGGCAAGGCCCTTTTCGGAGCTTCCGTATTTGGCCCAAATCTTCGTCGGCCGTCAGCTCATCCAGCCAGGCCGCCCTAACCTGCACCACTGCTGACTTGATCTGTTTCGCAATGACTCGTTCTTCTTATGTTTTTCCTTGTCTCCTTGCCGTAGAGCGCCGCTCGATGAGCTGGAGCGTGCGAGGTCGGATCCACAATTTCCGAGGCCTCTGCGGCCATGCCGGCAAACCGACGTCGGACGCATTCGGGAACCCATCAAGAAATTGGCACCATGTCATATTCACATCGTCACTGCTGGGCGCCACCTCCTGAAAGCTGTCCAAAGAGTCAACGGACAAAAAATTGAGATTATCGGGGATCTATTGACCCGGGTCAATCCAGACCCGGGTCGGTCAGGCTTTGCAGGATCTTGCAAGATCCCGCAGGATCCTGCACCCAAACCTAGGTCAATGCCACGGTCAATGCGACCTGGGCCTCGCAAGGCCCTGCAAGATCCGGCGCTCTGGCTGACCCCCGTTTGCATGGGCCCCCGTCTCTTGAGCCCCGAGAAAGTCCCTCCGCAGACCTCCCTTCGTGATATGTTCGCGACGCAGGCACAAGAGCGGCGAGGGAACAAACACTGATGCAGCACAGTTCCAGGGCGACGAAATCTATACATTCCATTGCTCCCTGGCCAGGCACACTCTGAACCCAGGAGCTGTGTATACGCCCCCCTGGCCGAGCTAGGAGGTTGCGGCGTGGAAACAAACACTGATGCAGCACAGTTCTAGGGCGACGAAATCTGTACATTCCATTGCTCCCTTGCCAGGCCCATCCTGAACCCATCAGCGGTGTATACGCCGCAACCTCCTAGCTCGGCCAAGAGGGCGTACACACAGCTCCTGGGTTCAGAGCGGGCCTGGCCAGGGAGCAGTGGATATGTAGGCTTCGTTGGCCGAAGTTTAACGCAGAAGCCAAAGCTGAAGCCAGGGTTCCCAGACGGAGAAAGTCGCCCCCCAGACCTCCCGTCGTGATATGTTCACGACTCGAGGTGGTCTTGGGAGCCCTCCACCCCCGGGCGGGTCTCGACCCCCCCCCCGAGGCCCTACGGGCGCGCCCTGGCGGCACCCTGGGCCCTGGAGAGAGAGAGGGAGAGGGGAGGACGTATGGGGGGTACGGGGGGGGGCAGGGCAGAGGACGCAGAGAGGAGGTGGGTGAGGACGAGGAGGGGAAGGAAGGGGAGGATGAGAGGGGAGGAGGGAGAGGGGAGGAAGTATGGGGGGTACGGGGGGGGCAGGGCAGATGTCGCAGAGAGGAGGTGGGTGAGGACGAGGAGGGGGAGGAAGGGGAGGAGGAGAGGGGAGGAGGAGGGAGAGGAGGGGGGGCTCGCCAGGAGCCCGCGGGCCTCCGGCTCGGACGGCGGAGCTCGCCCCGCGCCCCCCTCCTCCAGGAGGCCCGCGGCCCCCCTGCGGGCACGCCGGGGCCTCGGGTCGGACTTGCCGCGGGCACCAGGACTTGGCGGCGCGCAGAGGGGGGTCGGGGGAGGGGGGACGGCTTCTTAGAAGGAGGCTGCTTCTGAGGAGGCGCCGGCCTTGCATCTTTCGACAAGGCCCCGCCCGCGCCTTCTAAGAAGCAGGGGTGCTTCTAAGAAGCCTTCCGCACTCCCCCTACACCCCTCTGCGCGTGGCCGAGACTTGCCGCAAGAACCGGGGCGCAAAAACCTGTGCAGACAACGCTCGCTCTTGTCCAGCCGTTCGTACTGGCAGGCCGGGGCGGGGGCGGGGCCTGCGAATAAATAAAGAACTGGCCGCCCACGGCGGCGGCGCTGAGGCACATCGCCTGGACCACAAAGTCCACATGCCTGAAGCGGCGAGGTCGGACCCTCCTCTTCCTCCTCCTCCTCGTCCTCCTCCTCCTCCTCCTCGTCCTCCTCCTCCTCGTCCTCTTCCGTCTCGTCCTCGTCGTCCTCCTGCTCCTCCTCCTCGTCCGACTCCTCTTCTCTGTTTCCTTCTCCTTCCTCCCTCCACGTAGGCTCCTCTGCTGATCCTCCTGATTCACCCTCTCTCGTCCTCATCCTTCGTCCTCCTCGCCGTCTTCCTCCTCCTCTGTAGCCTGGGAGCTTAAGAATCTGGACAGATGAGCCTGGCGAGCAACGATGGTGAACAGGAGAGGCTTCCAAGAGGCCCCCCAAAGTCGCCAGAGAACCCCCCAAACCTGTCCCACTCAACCGAATAACCCAGCAGATCGGCAAGTATGGAGCTTTTTGATTGCCTTTGAGTCTCAAAAACATGTTTTAATTGTTCGCCTTGCCCGTACCGCGAGCTGGCGGGGCCTGCTAACTCGTCGTACCTGGCTGACCTCGCTCCATTCCACTCCGACTCAAATCTTGCCCCGGCTCCTGCTCACACTCCGTCTCCTGCTCCTCGGCACTCCTCCTCCTCCTCCTCCTCCTCCACCTCCTCATCTGACTCCCGCTTCGGATTCTGCTCTGACGGCTTTCCATCATCCCACCTGCTCTCGGAAGCGGGGGCCGCGCGCGGAGGAGCGGAACGCTCTGCCGCTTCAGCGCCGCACGGCTGTTTTCTGGAAATTGCGTTTTAGCATGGCCGCGGAGTACGTTCAGCCACGCCACGGCCACAAGGCACGCGGCACTCCTTCGAATTCTGTGCGTCGAAAACCATCGAGAATGCCGTTCCAATCCCGCTGCATATAGACATGCACGTCGTATAAGTAACGGGGCCGACCCCAAGCGACCGACCACTGGAACCGCCTTCTGCCGTAAATTGCATTGCTTTCCGTTTATTGTTCCGTTAGGCGGTATTTGTAGTGCAAGCAATGTGGTGAACACTATGTGGCGCAAGCTATGTGGTGCTATGCGGCGCAACGTATGAGGTGCACTCTATGCGGTGCAAGACATGGGATGGCATATGCTGTGCAACATATTCGATGCAATCAAAACGGGGCAACATGTAAGATCACCCATACGCGGCGCAGTATAGGTGTTCGGAGATATGTGGTGCAATCTGTGTGGTGAAACCTGTGGGTTGCAAAGTATGTGGTGGATTCGGTCCTGCTATATCTTGAGTGCAGTCTATGTGGCGCGTGCCGTCTGCTTTAAAAAAACAATGCGGTGTAGGCAACGTGGCGCAATCTGCATACCGGAACTGCAGCCCCTGCGCTGCAAGCCACTGGCCACTCGGGTCGGGCGAAAGGGGGAGATAGCAAAGGGGGGGTTTCAGAATCAGCTCATGTAGCTGATTTTCCCGGCGCCTCCCGGCGCCGGAGGCGGCTATGTCTCGAGGAATGGGCCCCTCGGCGAGGCCGAAACCAGCTGCATGCAGCAAATTTCGCAACCCCCCCTTTTCCAATCCCCCCCCTTCGTCCGGCCCGAGCCACCTCGACGCCGCCGAGGCCGCTGAGCGCGGCGTGTCGCCGGAGGACCGCGATGGCAACACCGCGGCGGACCGCCTCGCGGGGGCGGCGGCCCAGGCCCGGCTGCCCCAGCTGGCGCTGCGCTAGGAGCGCGAGCGGCAGCTGGCCGCCCTCCGGGCAGTGCGGCGCGTGCTCGCCGTGGTGGAGCTGCAGAGGCTCTGAAGGCCAGCCAGGGGCATGGCCCCGGGGGCTGAAGGGGCCCTGGGACACACAAATAAGTACACACAAATAATAGGATCCCCGACATTTTCCAATATTTTCTGGGTTTATATGTCTTCCTCCCCACTGCCCATACTTTCCCATGTTCTCTGGGGAATCGACGATTAATTTTGTCTGTGTTTTTTTTTTTTTTTTTTCTCCTGAGGGGGGCCCGCGAGCGCGGCGGCGCCAGACGGCGGCAGGGCACCGCCGCCGCCGTGTGCCCCGCGAGGGCGATGACGCCGCAGTCGCGGCAGCGGTGGCGCCGGCGGCGGCGCCAGGGCAGCCGCGCGCAGCGCCGGGTCCCGGGCCGGCCGCTGCAGCGAGGGCACTGTTCGCTGGCCGCGCCTGGCATAGGCACGTCGCCTCCCAAGGGCCTGCTTGGGTGGCCTGCATGGCCTGCGGGTGTCGGGCACCGGCGGCGGGAGCTCCTGGCGAGCCGCCCGTGCAGCGGGTGGGTGCCCCTGCTGCCCCCGCGCTTTCTCGCGCCGTGATTCCTGTTTTTGCCACTGGGCCCCTGCGGTTGGTAAAAAAGTGCGAGGAGGGCACGGGTGCCAACGAACCTCGCGAAACCCAGGGAAGCTCAACCACCGCATGAAGCGGCTACGAAACGCCCACGGGGAGCCAACGGGCGCTTAGCGCGCGAAAATTGGGAAACGCTGCCGAATTCTTTGCTGTCGAGGTATGAGCTCTCTGGTGCAGGCACTTTTGGGGAAGTCCGAGCACATCTTGCAGTACGCCCTTCTATTGACCACGTAATCAAGTGGCCACAGAAGGCCCCATGGAGACACAGAAACGCCAACAGCCGAGGCCATGGACACAAAAAGGCCCATCGGAGCACAAGCAGGACCGCTTGGATGCGGAGAGAACCCGTCGCTTCCCTGGGCGCTTCCAACTGCGCATCTGTGGCCACCTCAAGAGCTCCTGAAAGGTCCAGCGAAGTGCGATCGTTCACGGGCAGAGACTGGACGAACCCTTCCTGGGCGCTGCCACGTGCGCAACCGTCGCCACTTCCACGAGCTGCTGGAAGATACAACAGAAATACGTCTTACGCCTGCAATTAACTGTAGGCTCCAACATAGCTCGCAGAGGCAGCCTTCGCGATCCAGGTTTGGGCCTGGGAGGGGGGGGCGGGTAGTTCGAGCATCCACGATGGCCCAAGATGCCTCCAAGAAGGCCCTCGGCAGCCCCATTTGGCCTCCAGCATGGCTCAAAATAGCCGAAGTTGCCTCATGATAGCCGCCAACATACCTCCAAGAAGCCCCAAGACAGCCTCAAGACGGATCAACGTGCCCTCCGAGCCTTCGTAGGCACCCTCCAAACACCTGTTTTTGCCTTCTTGCTTTTTCGCTTCCGATTGGCCTTTGAGGCTTCAAGATGGCCCCAAGATGACACGAAAGAGCACACAGAAGGGCCCAAGAGGGCCCTAAGACGGCCGCAAGAGCGCCCAAGAGACGCCCAATAGCTCCCCAAGAGGCCCCCCCCGAAACTATTTTTGAGCCTCCGAGGGGATGGGGGCCAACATAAATTCCCCCCTCTCTTTTCGAGCTTTGGGGGCCCAGACGGCCCCACGAGACATGCCACAGACAACGGGCCCGAAGAGGGCCCCAAGAAGCCCCAAGAGGGCTAACCGTGCTTCCAAACTTGGGCCACTGAGCCATCGGGCCCAAGACGCGACTCGTCTAGGACAGGCAACGAGTGACATTCAGGGCCGCAGGCAACCAGTGACAGACGAGGGCAGCAGGCAACCGACGATACGTCGGGAGAAACAGACGTCGCGCAGGAGGTCTGGCGATCGTTCCTGGATGGGCTGGTGGTGACACGCGGAAGCGTCAAGGATTCGTCGAACTTCGACCCTCGACGGGGGGGGCAGGAGGAGGAGGAGGAGGAGGAGGAGGAGGAGGAGGAATAGGACGAGGAGGAGGAGGAGGACGAGGAGGAGGAGGAGGAAAAGGAGGAGGGGGTAAAAGTAGAGGGAAACTTCGCATACGAGAACATTGTCTTGCGGGGCACCACGGGTGCCAGACCCCCGGGTTTTTCCCCAGGACGAACTTCCTCACCACGCGTATTTCTACGACGGTCGCGTGGAATGGAAAAGGACCCACGAGCCCGAAACCGGGGAAACACCTCCAAGACCAGTTCTTTCTTTCATGGCGAGATTACTTCGGTGGTTCCAAGATGGGGTCCTGAAGGATGGGGGCCCAAGGATAGGACGGGATCCAAGGGTGGACTTACGCTGTTTGATGCACCTTGTCCTTGGGACCCCATCCCTTGGGACCCCATCGTGGAACTGCCGATGACTGGCCTGGCCAGAGGTCGGGCGATGGCAGCAGGGGTCAGCGCGCCCCTCGGCCAACGGGGGCGGCGGGCAGCCGGCGGCCTGCCTGAAGCAGAAGGCGATGGTGCTCGGGGCGGCACCTCCCCTCGCCGTCGAGGAGACTGGATCTGGACTGGGGCAAGCTGTGTACGGGGTTGGAGTGCAAAGGTACAGAAACCCTGATCCGCTGGTAGAGGATAGGAGGGAAAGATGGGGATATTTGCCTCCTGTGCGATCAGCAGTCTGATCGATGCCAATACCTGAGCCCAAACGGCCAGGAGCAGGAGAGTAAGGAGTATCTATGAGGGTATTACACGGGTTCATTGCACACACCCCGTCCCGAATCCCGCTCGCAAGGGCAGGGCTCGGGAAAAGCAGGACAGGACACGTAACCCTTTTTACTCCTTAGCATTCGCAGGCAGCTGAGCGGAAAAAGTCTGCGTCGCTTCGGCTGCGTCCCGACCGCAACAGCAGCTTGCAAAAGTATGTAGCACATCGGCTGGCATGATCGGGAAAGGAGAGGACGAAAGAGCACCCAGGGCCCCTCTTCCTTCTCCAAGCGCGCTTTGGTGCCCCCTCGGTGCGCCTCCCAAAAACGCTTCGGCACTCGAGGGAAGAGAAGAACGGGGCACGGGTGAGCGGAGCAAGAGGATCTGATCAATCTAGAACAACATCAGAAGCTGCTGTGTCAAAGACGCAGCAGGTGTTGCCACCAGCAGTCTAACACAAGCTGGGCATCGCACCATTATCAACGCATATTCGTCCTCAAGCTATGTTATCGCGCAGAAGAAGCAAATCATCAAGGTAAAGTAAAGTCGGGTTGACAAACACGAAAAGTTGCATATGCAAATTCTGCATTGGGTAACTCCCTTCGGCAACGCTCCATAGGAGTGCGCCTCTGGTTTCACAGGAGTTATATGAGGGGCCACTTATCATGTATAGTGAAGTGGCCAAAGGTTGTATGTGCATTGACTGCTCGAGGCGAACTTTGCAAATATAAAGTTCAAGCAAACTCGAGCAGTGGGCCTTGCCTTGCGGCCAACATATCTAGGTATTGCCTCTCATGTGGAACTAACTCACTGGCCCGCGCGCGGTGGCCGTCAATTCCAATGAAACTGGTCGCGTACGTTGCCCAAGGCGTCCTTGGGGTCCAGTTGCGGAAGCGCTCGTTGTACTGCAGATCGCGGATGTAGACAAACTCGTCGTTGTTCTCCGCGATGTGCATCCAGCGCTTGTTGTAGTAGCTCCAATACCTTGGGCCCCGCTGGCTGCCCTCAAGGTGATGGCGCCACCGCGTCGCGTAGTCAGCGGCAGTACGCGCCCGCTTGGCACGCGGGGGCGTCGCGGGCCTGCGACTGCCATCGCTGGTGTGGGCTGATTGCCAGCCGGTCGGCTGTGGGGCGGCGGCTGCGCCGCGCCGCCCAGCAAGCGTGACTGCCAGCGCGCCAGAGGCGCGGCTTCCGGCAGCGTCGCCGCGGGCAGCGCGAGGCGGCCGCGGAGGCGGCGGCGCCATGGCGCCATGTGTAGTAGGTGAGTGAATGGGGGTGGTGTCAGGATCGGTTCTAACCCCTGAACCCTTCCCCCCTTGCTCATTCGATCCCGTGGCAGGTCCAACAGAGGCGAGTCTGGCAAGCTTGTGCTGCGTGGTTTTGTCATAAGTGCCGTCCCCGCGGGGGGCGGCAATCGTGACAAGACCGCGCTCCTGCCTGGTGCCTCTGTCCATCCTACCTTCATTCAACCACCAATTCTTGCGACCAGCGAAGCCAAGCGCTTGGCTGCGGGCATGAATGCCGCAAGCCATGTGCATGTCTTCGATGGTCCAAGGCACCTGACCGGCGGCCTCACGGGCTCTGGTCATTTGGTTATGGAATCGGGAATCGCTAAGGAAACGTTGGATGACGTTGCGGAAAGTATGGTGCACTATGCGGTTGTCCTCAGGTTCGCCCGGCACCCTGCGCGCACTTGCAGGTGGGGAACCTGCGTCGCACCACAATGTGCACATAATTTCCGCCTTTTTCGCCATCTGCCTCAACCTGTTACGCTGTTCGCCGATGATTGACCGCTTTCCCATCGTGTAGACGCGCGTCCAGTCGGACATGAGGCGGTCGACGTCGCTGTGGGACAGGTTGTCCCTGATCCACCGGTTGAGGTCCTGCAGGTGCGCCAGGTCGCTGGCCTCAGCTCCGCCTTTGCCTGTGGCGCCTACAGAGGTACTGTGTTGCCGACAGATGTCACAAAGGGTCCCATCATTGGTAACGAATCCCAAGGACAGGAAGCGACTGCAGTTTTGGCATCGCAGGATATCGCGCTGGAGATCCTCGGGGCCCCCGGGCGAAACCAGATCCCCAGGGGTGCCCCAGCGGGTGTTGCTACCGGCTCCTGACGCAAGGGAATGACCTATCTGGTTCAGAGCCTCACGATTGAGCACAGCGGTGGCTCGAGAAGCGATCGATCGTCCGATCCCCTCGATCTCGGTCAGCGATAGCCGATCTCCCGGCAGTCCCGCGTACTCGGTGGAGCCTAGGTCCGCGGTGTCCATCTGACCACAGGTTCGGGCCAGGTCCGCACGGATGCGTGTGGCCTCTGCCTGCGAGGTGGTCTCGTTGTCCCTCGCGGTGCGGTCGATGTTCTGCTGCTCGGCTAAGACTTGTACCATCGTCTCTTGATCTGGTGCGGCCGAAGCAACACTGCCTGGGTTCCGTGTCATGTCAATTGAAGTATCCTGAGTGGCAGCGCCTGGGTCGTCCTGGTCAGGCGCAGCAGGTGTTTCCACCGGCTCCTCCCGTACGGGGAAGCCTGGATCTCCATGTCTCATCTTACGCTCTGCGAAGAGTGTTCGAAACGCTGTCAGAGCGGGGTGGTTGTTATTAATAGAAACGTGGGAAAACTGTTTCAGCTCCTTGATGCCCTCCAACCTGAAATTCTGGTACACTTTAGATCCATTGGACGATCCCTGCGGTTGTTCCCTGCACGGATTCAGGGTCGAGAAAATGTAGCATCTTCTTGAAGAAGTGCTCCGCGATGCATATTGGCAAATCCCGTGCCCAGGTATGAGTGTGGTTGTAAGGTATATTGTGCGTCTCCGTCTCGGTCCCAAATCGGAATTGGAATCGCAAGTAATATTCGATCCTGTCCACTACTGGATTGGTCGTAGGTACGATACGACTCGCAGACTCAACCCGATCGTAGGCGTATTTGGTGGCACCGCCGTGTATCTCGATTATCTGGTTGAGTTGGAACATCGGTGACTCCACCAGCGGTGCTGACGTCCAGTAATACACCGCGTGATCGTCCGATTCGCAAATCCAGTTGTCAGGACCTTGTGGGCGATAGTCACGGTTGGTAATCATATTCTCTGGCGGATCGATACTGCTGTCAAGGATGGAGGACCCAGAGTCCTCATCTGCAGGAATCTCGGCTGTCATCTCGGCTCGCATGGTGTCGTTGTCTTTCTTTTTTTTTGATACGCAGTCAATGCTATGTCAGACATGTAAATGATGACGGTGACTGGGTCGTCAGTGGTTTGTGCCGCCCGTTGTTGATTGCCGTCGTCGACCTTCATGGGCTTCAACAGGTGTCGCCACCGGCTCCTGGTCGGATCCTGGTGTCCGAGGAGAAAGGCGTCTGGGCGGCGTGCGTGGAATACGCACTCTGTGAAGAGTCGGGAGCCCGAGGTATGGTAGGTCACCTGAGTGAGCGTACTCCTCAATCTGAGCACTGCATGATGATGGTCCCCTCATTGCTACATCCATGTAGGCGGCGTCTATTTTGTCAGTGCGCACTGGCATAGCGAACGCGACTCCCTTGAGGGGTAGATTTTTGTCACAGTACCAGCTGTTGACCCATCGTAAACCATAGTTGAGGACGGGTACCTGTGCCGCAAAGAACTTCTCAAATACTCCGAAATGTATGACAGGGCCGTAAATGTGGCCCTTGTTCATACTGACTCCAGTGTTGTAGTCGCCTTTGAGGTAGTGGTTGTCGTAGTGGTAGCAAGTGATCTGGCCACAACTTTTGACGATAATGAAATCTCCCATGCGGACGTCATTGAACATGGGACGTCGATCCGAATCTTTCTGTGTAGTCTTTGCAGTATTGGGCCTGAGTGCCTCCCTGCAGCATGACATTGCAAACAACCACTTCTTGTCCTGAGTGTTGTGCGCACTCTTGCTGACCATGGCACGGACGACGGCCTCGTCCAAGGCGTCGGTATCGGCGGCATGGCCAGCAGGGGTCGCCCCAGCGAAGGAGCGATGGCTTGCTGTGCCGATGACGCTGAAGCAGACCCGGAAATCTGCAGAGGCTGTGGCGACGTAGCCGTGGCGCATGCCTTTGCAGCAGGTGTTGCCGTCGGCGTGGGTTGGTGTGCGTCCGACGGCGATGGTGGCGCAATCCCAGGAGGGTCGTCTATCATGTTTGCCTCCAACTCCTGGGCCACTTGCTCCTGTCGTGATTGCTGCCGAGGGGTATCGCAAATCTCGCACTTGCTCAATGGTGGTCTCTGGGATTGCAAAGGCGGGTAGTCCCAGCTCGGGCCCGTGGAAGGCCACGGCTGTTTGCCTGCTCCACGGTATCCCTTGATACGGCGAACGGCTAGGATTGCAGCGGCGGGGGCCACGTCCTCGGTCATGATGGCGCCCTGTGCACCAAGCCAACATCTGCAACCAGATTGTGTGGCGATTTTTTCATGTCGATCACGAGCTCCACCTCATTTTTGTAGTGGTTGAATTTGTATGGGGCAACATATGTATGAGGATTATGCTTGGCAGTGTGAATATACGTACTTGAGCTGTAGCATGCCTCAGAGCGCTGTGTTCCCTGTTGCCTTCTGTCTCTATGAGACGGATCTCTGAAGCCAGGAATGATCCCTGTCTTGTGATGATGCTGCTCCAGGCGCGGTATGTCGTGCCGTGGTGGAGGTACTTAACGTCCGTCCATTGCAAACTCTCCCAGCCCATATTCCATGGCTTGGAAGGTGGGTTGGCCGAACTATGTCCTCCAACGCATCGGATAGCAATGGCGCTGCTCCAATCGAAGCAGCTGGGATTGCTCGCGGCGGGAACTGGTTCAGCGTAAATCTCAATCCTCTTCTTCTCCGGGT